GCTTTTCCTGCCCGCACACTTAAAGATAATCGACACTCGTGTCAAAAATTATTCAACATGTTGAACATTCAGTGCTAATGGCAGGCATGCCGGAAATCTCTCAAAACGTCCCCGCACACCTGAGAAACTTGCTTACGCCAACAGTCATGCGTGACGCTCAGCTGATAGCTCTAGTGTGCGGCGGGCTTTATATGAAAGCACTGTTTTAGAATCTAAATGTTTTGAAGAAGGTCGGTCAATGCAAATGGTGAGTAATAAGCACTAAGTAGCTACGACTGGTACGTTTTTAGTTTCATTCTTTAAAAACTGTAATTTGTAAATATTTTAAATTGACGGCTGTTGCCAGTTTGCCATGTTTTATGATCAATACTTAATTATTTTTATAGATTGACAGCCCTGCTCAAACACTTGATGAAGGCGATAGCAACTCACCGCCAACGGTTGAAGAATCCAGTGAAGACGCAACAAGTGAAATTGCAGGTATGTTAGGCACTCTCTTGTCAAAATATTGGAAATTAAAGGAAAGAGTGGTGATGCATTTACCCTCAAGGTGATGTTAAACGATTTGCAGATTCCTCTCTCCATGGCTAGATTTCAGTGTTATGACACAACTGCGTCAATGTCTGGAGCATACAACGGTGCACAAACAAAGTTTAGCGAGCATTTGGAACGGAGCATTCCCTACATCACTTGCATGGACCACAAGGCAAATCTATGTGTCGAGCATTGTTGCCAGGCTTCCTTGCTCATCGACAAATTTTTTACTACTTTGCAAGATCTGTATAACTTTCTTACAAAGAGTACCAGCCGCTTTGGTAAACTAAAGGACAAGATTGAAGAGTTACAAGAAGGTTTGATTATGAAAAACCTATCGAAAACGCGATGGATTGGAAGAGCAGAATCAATACGTGCAGTGTGGTTGAGCTACGAAGTTTTGCTTGATGTTCTTGCAGAAATCGAGAACTTTCAAGGGAGTGACAGAGATGCCAGAAAGACAGCGAACGATTTGTTGGAGAGAATACAGTCATTTGATTTTTATTTCTGCATGTTGTTCACGAAGAGCATAATGTACAAGATGAAGGTTGTAATTCTCGAAGTTCAAGAAATCGATTATGATATTCTGGCAAGTTTGGATGCAATGTGCGAAACAAGAGATGAAATGCTGCGAATACGGAATGATGATGTTGGCCTGGATGGCATAATCACAGCTGCAGTAGAAAAGTGTAGTTCTTTTGGAATCGATGTCCAATACGAATTTTCTAAAAAACATCGTCCTCGTCGACAACCAAGGCGCATCGACGAGAATGCTGATAATCGCGTTATTCCACATTTTAACCAGCACTACCGTCAGGAGATGTTCAAAGTTCTCGATCGCCTGGTCAGTGATATCAATGATGCCCACCACTACACCTCGGACATTGTTGTTCCAGTTTCAGTTCTTCCAAACAAAATCGCTAAACGTACGGCAAATCAAGTCGAACAATTGTGTGCCACTTTTCCCGAAGATTTTCAAGATCCAGATGCATTACTTGCGGAGATGGAGGTGCCATTGAGCAGAGTGAAGCAAAGAATCTGCGAGAAGCTGCCAGATTTCTTAAAGAAAAGTGTTTCTTTTATCCAGCCTTTGCGAAGGCATATCAGCTCGCATTAACCATTCCGATCTCAGTCACTAGTAACGAACGCAGCTTCAGCAAGTTACGATTGGTGAAAAATTATCTCCGGTCAACAATGAAAGAAGACCGCCTGGACTCTTTGATGATATTAGCATCATCGCCCGACATCTTAGCCAACGTTGATATTGACAAGATAGCTGATTCCTGGTCAAATCTTAAAGCAAGAAGAGTTAAAATCTAGACTAGAAACAGTGAAACATGCTACCTATAGAACCTATTACGAAATTAATATTTTGGTAATACATTACATTGGCTTCAATTTTAAAATAGAAAGTTAGTTGCAACCACTGTACTTGCATGCAAGTCTGCAACTATGACAACTCTTTGTACATGCACGTGACAAAAGTTTAATTCAAATTAGTACTCGTCATTCTTTAAATTTTAATAGACAATTTATGGAAATGAAAGTAACTATATAATTTAACTTTTATAAGATTTTATGTTCCATTCTAGTAATTTATAGCATGTAGAATAGGAATTTTATCTTCTTCGCTTTGGTTCTGCATTACAAATGACAGTATTGATCCAACTTTCATAAATGTATTGCTCCATTACCTATATACAGTACATAAAACTGTACGATTCTTAAGTGGATTTCGTCGGTAAATCTTGGAATTCACCCCCCCCCCCTCGGGGGATTCAGCGAAATATTACCCTCAGTGATGATATTTCCCTCGGGGCAAAGCCCCTCTGGAAATATCATCACTTCGGGTAATATTTCGCCGAATCCCCCTCGCTCCAGGTCTATAAATGATAGGAGTTCTCTAAGGAAATATGGGCAAGGGATCAGGCATATGGCTGGCAAGCACTTGTATGCGCATTTTTTTGGTGAGGAACACGAGGGCTTGGCCGATCTCAGAGTTATTATTATTGACAAAACAAATATGAATGATCCTATGCAAAGTGAGGCATTTTGGGCATATAATTTGGACATATTTGCACCTAAGGGATTAACTCTTTCTCAACAGGGGCCATTACGCGTAGAACGTGCACGTTCTACGGATATTTCGTTTATATCTTCGATTCAGTACACGCTATGTCGATGAA